AATTATTTAAAAAATAAAAAAAATTCTCATTAAATTTATCCTAATAAAATTATACTTTTTTTTTATTTTTACCTCAAAAAAATTATGCTTTTCTAATAACTATTTAATTAAATTATTATGTTTTTCTTGTCTGAAATTATAATAAAATGTATCCAATAATAGTGATAAAAAAAAATAAAAAAAAAACCTTAATTAGAATCTAATTATCAATTATTAATATTTATTTTTTAGATTTTTATGTATTTAAAAATCATGCATTGCACGGGCTTTCATCTACTTTCCTATGAGAACTCATTTCGCTTTTCGCATGTCAGTCAACCAACACCTTAGAAAATGACCTCAACTTATAAATATTGTCTAGATTAGATTAGGTCCCATGCCATGCACGGTAATTTATTATTAGATTAACACTATATTTAATTATAAAAATTATCTAATTGCATGCAAAATAAGATGAAAAATTCGTAATCATAAAAATAAAAATAAAATTATATCATACTATAGAAAATCGTGGGAGTAACTCATGCACGACTAATATAAATAATTACAGATTACGTCACAAAGTTATATGTAGGAAAATATTATTGCATAGTATTAAATAAAAGAATAAATTTTTTGTAGAATGTGTATAAAAGGAATATAATTACCAAATAGTAAAGGAAATATAATTGCATAGTATTAAATATTATCTAAGAAGCTTTGGCAAATATATATATATATATATATATATATATATATATATATATATATATATATATATATATATATATATATATATATATATATATATATATATATATATATCTTAGCGGGAAATAAAGGAGATGACATATGTCATTCTTGGTTTCACCTTTAATATAATATATAGTTATAGATTTCTGTGTTAAAGTCAATTTAATACAATATAACATAAAGATGTTTTTATTATTTCATTTTATAAATTAAATCCATTTGAGTGTAATAGATCGGGAAAAAAAAAATCATTTTAAGCAAATAATTTTAATTGCTATAATAATATATAAATAAATTAAATATATATAACTTTATTGTCATAGATAAGTTGTCAGTTAAAAAGATATAAAAAGAAAAAAAAAAGTGAGAATAATATTTATTTTTGGAAAAAGGTTTTTGGAGGGAAAAAACGACCACAGGAAGTGACATGTGTCATTCCCGGTGTCTGTTTTATTATTATGTTATTGATTCAAAATAAAAAGAATAAAAATTTAAAAAGAAGTGCTAAAACAGTACAAGTCATTGCTAATATCATTAATATATACATTTCAAGTAGTTCTCATGAAAAATTCCTTCCTAGATTATTTTAGTTAATGACATTTTTTAAAAATCTTATATATATAAATAAAGTAGTCATTTTTGGAGAAGATTTGGAGCGCCACGTAAGAAATATACTTATTTCAACCAATAAGAAGAAAGATTTGTATTTTATTTTTGAATTAAAAAATTGTGTCGCCACCTAGATAAAAGTAACGAATTAGATTTGATATATCTATAATTTTAATGTCACGTAGATTATAATCCACGAATTAAATTATTTTAATGAAAAAAATAAAATAAAAATATAGGAAAAGATAAATTTATTAATTCAATACTACGAGTATAAGAAATCCAAAAAAAATATACTAAAAAATATTTAAATGATAAAAGCTTATAATAAAGTTTGATACCTATCATTAAGATAAATTTTGATAGTATTTATGATAAGAAATACAAATTGTTCGTTAATTATAATTAAATTAAAATTTGTGATACCTACCATTGTAAATTGACACATCATACGACACAAACAAAATTTCGTATCATTAAAAAAAAACCCCATCAAGCAAATTTTGTGTTAGTAATTTTGTGTTAATTTTTGGTCATCAATGGCCAGGTAATTTTTAGCTTAATTTTTAAAATCCTATGTTTAAATTAGTATTTCTAATTATTACTTACATTATATTAATTTGGGATAATCAACGATTATATGTTTATGTTTTATTTACTAAATGTTTTTTTACATACAAATCTAACACATCATATGACACAAATAAAATTTCGTATCAATACTAAACCTCATCAAGTGAATTTTGTGTTAGTAATTTTGTCTTAGTTTTAGGTCATCAATGTCCGGGTAATTTTTAAAATCTTATGTTTAAATTTATATTTGTAATTATTAGTTACATTGTATTTATTTAGGATACTTAACGATTATTTGTTTAAGTAATGGCATACGATTAGATGTTGTATACTTAATATATGGATGACTTTGGTTATTTTTGGAGATGATGAAAAAATTCCAATGCATAGATTTGCTTTTATATCGCAACAATTTTTCATTTATAGGTAAATATATTGATTTATTTTATATAAATGTAAAGATTTAATTTATATCAATTTCAGTTTGGCTAACATTTCACGGTTCAATTTATCCATTGATGTAGTAGGTTGGTTGTGGACGAGGTTGGTGATTCTATCGAAATAAAAGATATGGTAAAACAATGAATAATGATTTAGGATTTAAATTATTAAAAATTTATCATTTCACATTAAAGATTTTATATAACGGAAAAAATATCATATTTACAATTTATTTATATTTAATAAATTCATTATAAATTATAGTAAAAAAAATATTAAACTTTTGTAATTTTGTCTGAAATTATAAAATACAATCGTGCATCGCACGGGCTTCCATCTAGTATATTTATATTGTCCTTTCAATTCCAAGATAGGCGACTTTCTTTAAAATACTATGAAAGTGGGACTATTCTTTTTTTCTTTTTTCTTTTTTTCTTACATGAATATTCATAGCCAAGTTGAGATTTTTTTTTTAATTTATGGCTGAGCATGTAATTGTATGATTAACTTTTTTAAAATTAAACCTTCGCCTCATGAAACTAACAAAACATTTCATATACTCCGTAGAAGTTTTTCTTAATCCTAATCAAATGAGATAAATCTTTAACTGCTATTCAAAAATTTCAATAATAATGATAGGGTAAGAGAGTGGGGGATAGCTTAGTTGGTTAAAGTTTTCCTCCCATTCCTCCCTTCCAAATTAGATGACACATTTTGTTTATCACGGTTGTCAATGTAAATAACTCTAATTATATTTAAGTAAAAATTATAAAAAGTTGATATTTCGAAAATACACATTAATATGAATCTAACAAAACCCTACATGATTATGATTTTTCTTATCAATAAATTACAAAAGTTAGTCAAAGTAGAGTTAGTGAATAGTGTCAAAAGTCAAAATATGACATCTAATGTGGATGGAGAAAGACCCTGTTCTTTTCAACAGAATAGAACAGAGCACAGCAGATTGAGTCAGCAATGTAGAGCAAATTTCAGCAGAACAGAATCGAGCAGAGCAACTTAAAAGAACAGGGTCGAAGTATGTACGAGTAATAGGTAAAAAATCTGGACTTGGAACCAGTCTGCTTGTTGTAAAAAATCTGGACTTGGAACCAGTCTGCTTGTTGAAATAGAATTTCATTATCTTAAGTTGAAACCATATAATTGGGAAATAAGATTAAATAAAAACTTGTTATTCCTTTTTTTTCTTTTCTTTTTATTTTATTTTATTTTTATTTTAATGTTAGCCTAGTAAGATAACGTTGTTTATGCTTTCAAAAGTTTTTGCATGCTTCGGATGTACAGTAAATTTTACGTACGTTCGGATGTTGTATACAAAAAATTATCCATGTTATCACAAAAGTTACCCTTAGTCCCATAAAAGTTACCCTTATTACCCAATTATTTTTATTATCATAAAATTGCCCTTAAATTGTTAAAAATTACCTATATTGCCCAGTACCTTTTATTCTCACAAAATTATCAATAAAACCGTCAAAAGTTACCCATAAATTATCAAAAGTTACCCATAATGTCTCAAAGATACCCATATTTCTTTCCTTTTTCTTCCCACCAGACATTACTGTATACTGGATTTTTCTAAAACATTTGTTTTTCAATTTTTGTCTAGAGCCACGAAACAAAGGATAACAGTTTAGACAAAATGTTGGTAACTATGTACTTCCCAAAAAATTAAATTACGAGCTTAAGCTGATGGTTATATTCTATCATATATAGAGCTGTCAAAAGCTGACCCGACCCGAAAAATTTACCCAAACCCAATTATTAACCGACTTATTTGAACCCGAAAAAATGGTGACCCGAATCCGATATGACTCGACCTAAAACCAACTCTAGACCCGAGTTAACCCGAGTATTTAAGACTCGAACACAAACATGAACCGACCTGGAGATGACCCGATCTGAATATAACCCCGTAAATTATTAACTAGAACCGAACCTGAATCAAACCCGAGAATGACCCTAACTCGTTTTAACCCGTTAAAGCCTGACCTATTATTCACCCGACCCGAGTGTAACCCAACCTTTTATTAACCCAACCCAAACCCGATAAGATGTATGACCCGACGTGACCCGACTCAAGCATGACCCTATAGTTAGTATATTGCCGTATATATTGTTATATAGTCAAAGGAGATAATTAGCTTAATAATTATCTGCATATAGTTAGCTAGAGTTTAGCCTATGATGATTGACGAAGGCATGTACATTTTATATATGCGGTTATTCTCTTAATGATAAGCATGGAAAATTTTCCCTCAATCTTTCATTAAGAGCCAGATTATATTGGCATAACCGCATAAGCTTGTCTATTATTTTTCTAAAATCAATTATAGCCATAGATGTAGTCTTTTTGGGTCTAATTCTAATAATAACTTAAAATATTATTTGCTCTCCCTTAATTTGCTTGACTAATTTCCTTAATTTTTTTCTAATCCTTTTGACCTAGCTCGATTTGGAAGAGATACCCAAGAATCAGGATCGAATCATTTTTACTAGCTAAACAATAATAATTAGAGCAAATAATAACTTAGGTTAATGCCTTGAAATTTATTAGCTTTGTAAACGTCAATATATGAACTGATAACAAACCGACCCGAAAAATGTACCCAAACTCGATATGACCCGAGCTGAAATCAACACGAGACCCAAATTAACTCAATATTTGAGATCCGAACCCGAACATGACCCGACTTCGAACTGACTTGACCTAATTATAATCCGCAAATTATTGACTTGAACCGAACCCGACTTGAACCCGTGAATGACCCTAACTCGTTTTAACTCGTTAAAACCCGAATTAAACCCGACTATTATTCACCTGACCCGAATGTAACCCGATTTGTTACTGACCCGTCCTAAACTCGACAAGATGTATGACCCGACGTGACCCGATTCAAGCATGACCCAACCCAAACCCGACCCGTATATGTTACGACATTAACCCGAATTTACCTGACTCACACTAACCCGACTTGTTTACCTAAATTGACAGCTGTAATCACACCCCCATGGTCAAGAGTTTGTTGGGCTTGACATGTAGATGCATCTTGGGCCTCTATATACCTAGTGTAAAATATATTTCGCTTGCAAGTAAGGGCATATGACATTTGAACTCGTAATCTTTTATCACGCTGAATCTTGATACCATGTTTAAGGATTGGACAAACGTAATTCAACAAAAATACTTAAGTTGATGTTTGAGGCGCATGACTAAGTTTAACACTACAGCTTGAAGTAAGTATAAAATTTGAGCTTGTGACCTTTTTTTCACATTGCTTTGTAATACCATGTTAAAGGACCAATTCAACCAAATACTATGGCCCTTTAAAAATCAATAATATAATTAGGATTGTCATTATTTTGATCATACCAGCCTAGCTTGTTGGAAACATACATATTACATAGCATCTATTATATGTGTAGCAGATTTTGTGTGTGGCTGGCCACACCGTGTGACCAGCTAGCACACAAGTAACCCCTCACCAAGTAATCCTTGACTGATCTAGTCCCCTGATTGATTAACCCTTGACCAAATAACCACTGACCATGTAGTTCCTAACCGACTAAGTAACCTCTAACCAAGTAACCACTGCCCGATCTAGTAACCCGTGATCAATTAACCTTAAAACAAAAAAAATTACAAGTATTTGATACTCCAGTTTTCTATCCAAAAAAGAAAGAAACTTGGTGATTCAGGAGAGAGAGAAAGAAATTGAAATTCCAGCAACCCCGATCACTCGAACCGATCGAGATCCAATAGACGGGGTAGTTGTCTGCACCGGCGAAAGAAGCGGCGGCGCCGCCATCAGTGGTGGTGGAACAACGTTAGCAGAATAGAACCATTTATCAACTTCAATTTAGCAAATGGCGTGCAAGAAACATATACCCACATAACCATTAATCAACCATTAATGTCAAATTTTCCTCAAACCCAGAAAATTAAATCAATAAAAAAAGGTCAAAATCAAAAATTTCTTACCAATTTGACTATTCATACATCAAAAATTCAAGTGGGTATTTGTTGCAAAGAGAAAGAGGGAGATTGAGAAAGAGGAGAAGACTATTCATACATCAGTGATGAGTGGTTTGGCTTGGAGGAGAAAGAAGACTTGTGGTGTAAGACTTTTTTTTTTTTTTTTTTTTTTTTTTTGTTAATGATGTGGCGGTGAAAGTTTGTGTTATATGTGGCATGATTTTTTTGTTGACATTTCTATGACTGCGAAATTAATATTTTTATTTTTTCTTATATCCAATAATGCCTTTTATTTCCAAGCAACTAATTGTTTAAGAAGTATTATATAAGAGCAATTACAGTTTTCTGAAATATATTCCTCGAACTTGGTTTTTTTTACAACTTAGCCAAATCTCTATATAACATTTATAATCATTGTGGTTATTGATTGATTACATAATAAAACAATTAACACAAATTCTTGATTAAGACAGACTTTCATTAACTTATTGTAAGACGGATTAAAATTATCTTAAAAGTATTAAAGTAATACTTATATAATACTAAAGTTGCATTGTCATTATCCTAACATATATTTTATTATTAAAAAGCAGTTATTATAATGTATTAGATTAATTATATAAGCCTTCATAGCATGTATCATTGTATCCAATAGAAATTACACATTAAAATACAATCAAATTTCTTACAATTAAAAGTTACCCTTAAAGTAATTAAAGTTATCATAAAAATTGTTAAAGTTACCTTTAAACTGACCGTCTTACAATAAAATTAATGTAATTAATTTAAGTCTGCCTTACACAAGACTTATTAATTAATTAATGTAATAAAGTCAAATAATTTTTTTTGTTTAAAAATATCTCCCACCAGGGTTGACAAATAGCTTTACTTGGTCATTGTGAAATAGACATTGAATTATAATTGACATGATTACACTTTTAGTATAGTATAGATCATATATCGCCTAGGGCTAGAAATGTTCCGTGTATTCTATTGGAGGATTCATTAAATTTAGGTCTTTATACTCTATATTAACAGCTCAATATTTAATAAATTGTGTTGTTATGAAACTGTAATGTACTTGTAGTTTGTACTGCTTATTTTTTGTTCTAATAGTCACAAACAGCAAGAAACATGCCTTCCTGGTGATCCGAGTACTAGCTGCAAGATTTGTTATGCTATATTTCTTCTTTCTTTCTTTCAAGTAATCGCGTTATATATATATATGAACATTAATACCATTTTAATCACAACCATCGGTTAATTAAGAAAATAGAACAAAAATAAAGGGTTTGAAATTTTCTTTTTTCCTTAGAAAAGGAAATGAGCAGCCTTGCTTTGCTGAAGTTTATATGTCTGTTTGTGTTTGTTGGATGGATGATAATATGGATTGTGTTGCCAACAGAATTTTACAAGTATAATTGGCTTCCTAAGCTAGCAAAGAGGTTAGATGCATCATACATTGGAGAACAAGGTTGTCATTTTCTCCTCCGGCTATATATATTAATAGCACTCTCTCCGTTTCATATTAACTAGCTATCTTTTAATGTTATGTAATTTAAATTTATTGCGGGAACAAATAATTATGTTGCTATTGAATTGCAGGAACAAATCTATTTTTACTTACATTTCCCATGATGTTGATTGCTGTCATTGGCTCTATCTATCTTCATCTTAAAGATAAGAGAGGGTTCTCCTTGAAAAGGTTTTTAGTTTTTATGTTTTATTATACACTCGAATGATCACTAACATTCATTCTAGTTCCCCTTGTCAAAATTTTATCACCGTATACAAAAATCTGGATTAGATAATTGATCTCACTAAAAGGACTATGTGATAAGAGCACATAAGAAAATTTTAAAAAATACGGAGTAAATAAATACTATGATATGCTAGTAACTTATTCGTGCCCTATCATAGCATACTATGATATGCTAGTCGAGTTTCTAGGATAAAAATTGATTAGTTTGTCAAATAGATCAGAGATTCTTTTTGCTTAGATTGGGCAGCACTAAGCTAAATAATTTTATTTTCCTAAAAAAAAAAAAAAATGAGCTAAATTATTTTATGATTTTCCTTTATTTTCTGACAGAGTAATTAGTTCATTATAAAGCTAGGTGAGTATACTAATCTTTTAATTTGGTCATGCCGAGAAATCTAATGAAAACACCCAAGAATTTGAATAAGACAATGAGTCTCATGAAAAAAGTAGGTCTATATATCATTGATGCCCTAGTTGAGTTTCTAAAAGAAAAAACTGGATTAGTTAGATAAGTGTTCTTTTCTACTTATTTTGGACAAATCTAGAAAATTTCAGGAAAAAAAAAAATTGTTTTCTTATGTACACTTAGCTACTTAGCTAGTGTTGGGCAAGAGTAATCAAGACTATTTTGGCTGCTTATATGGAGCCGGGAGCCCTACATCCATTGTTTTTTTTTTAAAAAAAAAAAAAAAAAAAAAAAAACCACATCTTCAGTGGTACATCTAATTTTAGGTATATTCGAAAACATCTAAGAATTTTAAAACAGATTTCTAGAAGAAAATTCTTACAAGAAATATCTTGGGAAGCCTTTTCATATTCATATCATTTCATAATAAGACGGTATATATACACAAGACATGCATGTCTTTTCATTATAAATAAAAGTGTATAAACTAGAAAAGCTTAGATATATTATAAACATACACATGGTTTCCAAAATACACGAAACTAAAGTATAATTATTGATACGTACTCTTTTGCTTTGAATCTTTGTAACAGTAGTAGCGTTAAATCATCTGAGCAACAGCCGCAAGTCAACTCTTTGAGACGCCCGATTATTGTGATGGGGCCTCTAGGAATTGTAACAGCTTTGGAGCTCATCTTTGGGATTATGGGTATTGCGCTTGTGTGTTGGCACTTCGGCAGCTACTACTATGTCAGTGTTAAGCATCCACACATGGGACACGGCCCCGACTATCGAAAACCGTGAGTATAAAAAATCACCTAGATAGAATATCCATATAAACAACCTGATAGAGTATAAAGCATATTCTTGGGCCTTAATCATCAGCTTAAGTTTTTTGTTAAGACCCAAAAATGTGTTTTAAAGGACCAATGCAACTAAAAACTTAAGAAATGATTGGAGTCAGGAATATGTTTTATACTCTATCACGGCTAATCTTGGATTTAAATCAACTATCAGCTTAAACTTTTGGTTGAATTAGTCCTCTAACACACCTCTTGTACGTATATATGAGTGAGGCTAAATAGGTTAACTAGCTGTAGCTAATTAAGGGGTTTCGTACATATATACATAAGGCCCGCATTGATGCTTTGTGTGTGATTTTTCAATTCGCAGGTGGCAAAAGAAGTTTCGAGGTGTGTCGCTACGATTAGGATATGCCTCGAATATTGCTTGGGCGTTTCTCTTCTTTCCAGTAACCCGATTAACTTCGATATTGCCTCTGGTTGGTCTTACATACGAGTCTAGCATCAAATATCATGTATGGATAGGCCAAATTGTGATGATTCTTTCTTCATTACATAGCCTTGGCTTTATCACTTACTGGGCTTTTATGAACCAAATGTCTGAGGTAATGTACTTATGTATCAGACTATCAGCTAGTAAGATCTTTGAACTTAATTAATGTATATACAACCTTTGTTTCATGTATATTATTTGCAAAGATTACCTTAATTAATTTTGCTTAATTATATCGATCATTGAAGTTAATTAGTGTATTATGTTTGTGATGTGGCATGCAGCTGAAAGAATGGAGCAAAACTTATGTGTCAAACGTGGCAGGGGAAATATCATTTGTTTTTCTAATAGCAATATGGGTTACAAGCTTTGCGTACACTAGGAGAAAGTCGTTTGAAGTATTTTTCTACACCCATCAACTTTACGTTCTAGCAACCTTTATTTACCTTGTGCACATAGGGGTTTCCTGGACGATGCAAATACTTCCTGGTATTTTTCTCTTTATCATCGACCGATACCTCAGATTCTTGCAATCGCGTGCTCGTGTAAGGTTAATATCGACTCGAGTCCTTCCTGGTGGGACTATCGAAATGACTTTTTCCAAGAGTCCAGGTGATTGATTATCAATTTTTTTTTTTTTTTTTTAATGTTTAGAGAGCCACAAAGGCAAGTAATGAGAATCGATCTCAAGATCTCTTGAAATCAGGAGAGAAGCTCTAACTACTTGAGCTATCCATTACTCTTCTCTGATTGATAATCAATTTAATTGACTAATCCTTTTGTTCCTTTATTAAGCATTCGGATTTCATATTTCACGGGTTTTGATGCAAGTGGTGTAAAATGCAGTGTGAAGTATTAAGAATAATTATAAAGTACAATATTTTGTTTTCTAGTAGGGACAATATAATAATGAAAAAGCATGTGTGAACTGTGAAGTACATGTGGTCATGTGGACACCAATTTTGAAGGGTACTTAGGGAAGATTAATATTGCGTACGTTAAAAAGTATACAAAGGGGTATGTTAGTAATTATACATGAAACAAAAATAGGAATAGGTATTTAATTAATTATAAGTCACCCAATTAAAAAAGCAGACAACAGGCACTAAGGGACGAAAGGATTATTAGAGCAACTCCAATGGCAAATTAATTGTCAAATTAACCTATCTTGCCACATAATTTAAGCTTATAAAACCTAACTTATTGCAGTTCGCTCCTTCAGGGAGTTAATGACATCCACCCCTGTAAATTGTGTAAATTGTTAGACAAATAGGCTTTTTCATACTCCCTCTGCCACAATATATCGTTCCTATTTGTGTTTTTTTCACTGTATTTAAAAAATGAGAGGCAAAAGTGGATGAAGTACATAAAAAAAAGTTAAAAAGAACAATTATAGACAAAAGTTAAAGAGGAAAAAGTGAATGAGACATACAAAAAAAGGTGAAAAGTACAATTATAGACAAAAGTTAGAGAGCAAGTGGAAAAAAGTATAAGGCAAGTGGAAAATTCAAGGCTAATTTAGGAAGTACAATGAATAAAATTTAAAAAATGAAGGTATAATGATCTTTACATACTATCCAAAAATAGAAACACGAACAATATTTTAGATCTCCAAAATAAAAAAAACAGGAACTATATTATGAAACGGGGGGATCAATAAGAAACAAGTTACATATTTCGTAATTTTAAAATCTCTCTTTTAATTTCTAATCACACAAGCAATACTAGCATAGTAGTATATATACTATTCTTTTCTTTTGATCTCCTTTAATTTACATTTGTTGTTTTTTTTCTCTTAATTTGTGTAATTTAATTTTCAGGTGTTCATTACGATGTTACTAGTTTCGTATTTGTAAACGTGCCCAAAGTTTCCAAGTTACAATGGCACCCTTTCACAGTGATTTCAAATAATAACATGGAGCCTGATAAGCTAAGCATAGCCTTCAAGGGTGAAGGGAGTTGGACAAGAAAGATATATAATGAACTTTCATCTTCTTCTTTAGAGAGGCTCCAAGTCTCTGTGGAAGGACCATATGGACCTGGCTCTACCAGCTTTTTGAAGTAAGTGCCATATATACACGTTCGAGCTTTGTCTTTAAATAATACGAAGTACAACTAAGCTAGTACATACAGTCATAGTAGTGATTGCATGATAATGATGATGAAAATTGTGGGTGTAGCCGTATATACTCCCTCATTACCAGATACGTGCAATAGTTTGTTGATTGACACATATGTCAATGCATAATTTTAATTTGATCTTAAACATACGAAGTTATATATACTTTATAATAATATAAATAATGAAAAAGTATATGAAAATCTATTTACATTGAATTTGAGACTATTACACAATAACATTACTTGATGTTAACATATTGTGGTCATGAGTCATGACATCACGTATGGGAGGTGCCGTAACTCCAATCCGTAAGGCATTATTCTGATCGAATTGGAACATAATTTCTAAAAGGCGTCATCAAACTTCTAAGCTAGCTCGAATACTAATCCTTTATTTCTCTTCGATTTTAACAGGCATGAATCACTTGTACTGATCAGTGGAGGCAGTGGAATAACTCCATTTATATCCATAATTCGAGAGATGATCCATCGATCCAATACACAGAAAGGCAAGGTACCAAAGGTTCTTCTAGTCTGTGCCTTCAAGCACGCGGCTGATCTTACCATGCTCGATCTATTGCTACCAGCAGTGGAAAGCACGCCGGATGATCTCTCAAAAATCCAACTAGAAATTCGAGCATACGTGACTCGAGAGGATGAACCGACTACATCCAATAGCCAGAAAGTCGTCCACACCAAATGGTTCAAGCCAAGCCCAATGGACTCGGCCATAACCCCAATATTAGGACCCAACAGCTGGCTCTACCTTAGCCTCATAATCGCGTCCTCATTTGTCCTGTTTTTAATCCTCCTAGCCTTTGTGACTCAATACCACATATACCCTATAGACCACAACACAAACAGCATATACAACTTTAGTACATGGGTGGTATGGGACCTCTTTTTCATGTGTATCAGTATCATTCTCGTCAGTAGCATCGTGTTTTTGGTGCAGAAGAGGAATTTCGCAGCAGAAGAGAAACAGATCAGTAATGTGGAAGTGCCTACTCCAACGAGTTCTCCGGGATCTTGGTTTCTTTACGGAGGGAATAAAGACCTTGAGAGTCTTCCACTTCACTCCCTCGTTCAAGCTACCCAAGTGCATTACAGAAGCAGGCCTAATTTGAGAAGTAAAATTATATAGATATTGCAGTTTAAACTTAAACTAAATGATATTATATTTTGTCTATATAATCGGTTATGAATTGGTTTGCAGAAATACTGTTGGAGAGCAAAGAACAGGATGTCGGAGTGTTGGCTGCAGGACCTAGCGCGCTGAGACAGGATGTTGCTAGAATTTGTTCAGGCTGCGGAGCAACTAACCTGCACTTTGAGTACCTTAGCTACACCTGGTGATTAATTAACCGATCTTGCAGCAAATTAAAGCACCAAGGATCGATTATGCTAGCTATATACTACGTCTGTATGAATTGAATGATGTATATATTTGCTTTTGAGGGTGTTTGCTATATATCATCTCTTCTTGTAACAATGGAAATGTGATGAACCCCTTCAATTCCCCTCTTTTCTTGTCCAAAATTAAATAAAAGCTTTTAAGGACATGTGCTCCTAATTTCTTGATGACTATGTATTACAGTATACATTTATCATTGATTGAACTTTTTTTTATTATACAATTTATGTTTATTTCTTTTAGCATACTATTTCTCCACAAAATTTGAACATGCAACCTCTAATTCTATAACTATAACTAAGTGTCTTACCACCAACTTACATGATATTTTATATTATCTTTTGAATACAAAATATTAATATATAACGAATGACAATGTAAATAACAAATTTAATTACAAGAAAATTAAATCATAAATTAAAACATATATTAATGATCAACTCCATGTAACGACTCGGAGCATCACCCGAACCCAAATACTAATTATATATTAAAAATCATGTCAAATAAAGTTTACTTGTCACGTGCCACTCTCCACTCATGCAAATATTCAATGTTTGTTTCAGGAAGACATCTAGCCATCAATCCACCATTTCATTATCGATAAATGGTTTTGAAAAAGAAAAAAAAAAAAAAAAAAAAGCAATAGTCTTATAATTATACCTTTGATCTTCTAATTCTATTCGTAATTGGGTCGGTATGATTCCCTCCTGTACTACTATCACATATATTTTTTGGTCTCTTAAGATTTCTTCTCCCAGGACACTCCCTAAGGTTGCCATCCTTTTTTGGAGCATTTGAAAATGTCGTAATGCTATCATTTTTAAAAATAATACCACCAATCCTAATAGTATTTATATTCGCGCCTTCTCTTTGTTTTAGGAATGGCAAACTCATTCTATCTTGGATAATGTCCATCTTCCAAGCAATAAGTCTATTCACACTACAGCTCAACCCTCCCCTGCTATTATATCTTGGTCCCCTCCCCCGGTGGGCTACTGTATGTAAGCTCAATTTTGATGGTTCCACTCTTAACAATTCTGCATTTGTTGGTGTTGTTATTAGAGACCATTTAGGGAATCATATTGCTAGCCGTACTTATAACCTGGGCTCTTGCCCGGCTTTTCTTGCTAAAGCCATTGCTCTTTGTAATGGCCTCCTCCTAGCTAGAGAGCATGGTATCTCCCATTTTTATATTGAAGGTGATAATCTAACAGTTATTAATATCTTGCAGGGTCATTATAAATGCCCGTGGAAGCTCCAGCTGTTGATGGATGATGTCAAGCACATTTTGGATTCTTTCTCAACCGTTAAGTCCCAACATATCTACCGCGAAGGAAATCGGGCAGCAGATTATGTTGCCTCTCTTGGATATTATAGTCCGACGCACCAAGATATTGACCCTTTTATGGACAACAAATTTTCTTATTTTTTTACTTTTAGACAAATTGGGACACGGTCTTGCGAGAAGACGTTCCTAATCTACTTCATGTATCTTACTTATTAAAAAATAAAAAATAAAAAAATCTTTTTACAACAATTAATCATGCCTCCTCTACGTCTATAGTAATAACAAGTATTTTATACTTTTTTTTTTTTACCTTATTATTATTTATGATAATAATCAGATGTTTTAAAAAGTTTTCAAATATCATGCAATTACTTACTACATTACCATTTTTAAATTTTCTCATATATAAAATAATCATGGAATATAACATTTCTAGGCATTGCATGGGATACACACTAGTTGTCACTAAAATAACAACTTACGGAATATTGCCTGCATTTTACACGGTTCATATTCTTACTTTGACTATACTTTTTACCAATATTTAAAAAACATATTTTGCCATATAATATTATTAAATTAATCTTTATGTATATTTTCATTATATTTATAAATTAATAATATATAAGTATAAATATTAATGGTCGAAGTTTTGTTAATCAAAGTGTTTACAATTATTACGAAACAGATGCACTTTTTTAGTACACGTGTTGGATGGTACATGGTGAGAACGAAAATGTCAACCTATCAATCATTATCCTTATCCTATCAATTGTATTTTTAAATTGGAAGTACAGTTTGTAGTTTGTACAACTGATAGCAGATATGAGTAGTACTCCCTCTGTCCCTTTATTTTTGCCCTATTTGACTTTACGCAGTCTCCAAGACATGTGTTAAAACGTTTATATTATAATTTTCATATGCGTAAAAATTATAAAAAGTAGATATTAATTAAATTTATAATGAGACAAACCAAATAAGATCTCACATGACTACATTTCCTTTGGTAGAACTACGGGAATTTATGGTCAAAATTATCAAAGTTTGACCCACATTTTGACAATGGGGCAAACAAATAGGGACAGAGGGAGTATAAAAAAGGTATTAGCTTAGTCAACCAATAGTATAAACTCATTCTTCTTATTCATTAGGTTTATAGGAAAGGGGAGATAAAATTCTTTAATGTCTTGTATAATTTTAATTAGTGTTGAATTGTTCGGGGCTTAAAAGGCATGTTCCTTGCCTAGTTCATCATTGACTTGTTCTACAAAATGCTATTGTACTTTGTACTTTATAAAGCCTGGTGCCCTGTTATTTGTACTCAACTTGCACCTAGACTTGAGTATAGTACCACTTCTTGTACTCTTGCACTTATACAAGCCTATTGCAACGTGAACGGTGGTTAATTCCTTTAAGATTCCTTCGAAATGGCCGGTGTTAGGGCAGTCGTCTTGGTGGTGCTATTGGCATATACTGTTGGGGGATTAGCCTATGATTCAGACATGCTTCAAGATGTTTGTGTTGCCGATCCTAAATCAGGTATATTCAAAGTGAAAATTTTATACATTTCTATGTTTACTCAACTCTTAATTATGTCAACTCACATTTGTATTGATCAATGTCAATATGTCATAGGAATACTAGTGAATGGATTCCCTTGCAAAAATATTAGCATGATAGCCGCGGAAGACTTCTTCTTCATGGGGATTTCTAAACCAGGCCAGATCACCAACAAAGTCCTTGGATCGAAAGTCACTGGGGCAAATGTTATGGACATCCCTGGCCTTAACACCTTAGGAGTTTCCATGGCTCGAGTCGACTTTGCTCCCTACGGTCTAAATCCACCTCACATTCATCCCCGTGCCACTGAGATAATCTACGTTCTTGAGGGTGAATTGTACGTTGCTTTCATAACAACCAGTAACAAACTCATTTCTAAGGTTGTTAAGACAGGTGAAGTATTTGTTTTCCCTAGAGGTTTGGCTCACTACCAGAAAAACAAGTCTAAATACCCGACTTCTGTTATAGCTGCCTTTAACAGCCAATTGCCAGGCACTCAACAGTTTGCAGCTGCTCTCTTTACTTCCAACCCTCCTGTGTCCAACGACGTGTTGGCTCAAACATTTAACATCGACGAACACAATGTTGAGAAGATCAAGGCTGGCCTTGCTGCCTAAAAGTAGCCTTTTCCTTAGGGAAGTTCAACAAATTTGAGTTCCTAAACATGTTGATTATATGGTTTTTCTTGTTAAGACTATTATTCTTCATTGGTGTGTATTAACTATTAATGCTATTTGACATCGTATATGTAATTGACAGAATAAATGAAGTTAGTTGTTACTTGTTCGAACTCTATCGTTCCTAGTACACTTTTGTAAAACTCCATTCAATTATTTCTCTTGTTCAAGAAATGACTCTGAATAGGTTTCCAGACATTGCATTGTAACAGCAATGGCAAGTCCGTGTCAATACAAGAGCAAAATTTGAGAGACAATAAGAAGGAATTTATCATTGAATTTGCACAACTGATTTAATAAATAATTATTCATCAATAAGTGAAAATTATCAATTAGTTTTAAGCACAGAGTTCGTCTCTTTCATCTATTGATACATAATAGGACCCAATTAATTGGTTCAGATTGTATTCTTTAAACCTGTTATTGTAACAAAGTTGGAAAGTTATGTAGTGTTAAGAGTTGAATTCAATTGTACCAACATTCACTGTAATTTAGTCAAACAAGCAAAAGTGCTACTGGTTGATTTATGCTTGAACCTGAATCGGACTGAACCAATAAAACCGGAACCTGTTTCAGACTTTCAGATCGGAAATTCATCTACAGTACAGTATCATTGCATTCAAGATTATTACTACGTAATTCAAAATATAGAATACTTCTCTGTTATTGTAAGAGTAGGAATGCATACAACTTTGTCAATACTCAATAGCTTAAGTTACTCGGCATATATTTCTTATTTCTTCTTAAAAAAAAAAAACAGCTTTCCTACATGTAACACCCCAGTAACTGATAACAGGAGCAATATATATGTCATGTACTCTGCGTCAGTGTGTAGTAAAATTACAAGTAATGAATTGCTCTAAGAAATAGCTCCAATTACTTTCATTTATCACCTCAAAACTGTTACAAAAGAACAAACTGCTTTCTATCTAAGATATAAAATAACCAAATAAGAACAAACTAAGGAGAATAATTGAACCAACTAACAGGAAACCTAAAGATCACTGGAAGACAACTAGTCCAGGATCGCTTAAACTTAACCTTTCCCACAAGTATAAGTACACCCCAGGTGAATGAAAAATAAATACTCACAAAGAAGTGATCTTCATCATGGCCGGGGTCTCCTTGGAATTCCATCCTCGGCATAATCACGCATACCTCCAAACTGCTTTGGCCCAGAATAGAGCATTCTATCAGAGTTATTATTATTGTTGTATCTAACATTACCTCTTTCTTCTCTAGGGCCCCTAAACTCCACCGGCCTTCTCTCACCAGCCCTTCCATAGTTATCATGCCTACGAAAATTTTGAGTAGGTGGTGGTGCGCCTTCCTCACTGTCATACTGGAACCTTCTAACATCTCCTCCCTCTACATCATAATGCCTTCCAGGATGAATTCTTTCAAAAATGTTTCGAGGCTTCCTCCTGAAATCATCCCCATTACTATTACTGCTGTTATTATTGTTATTATTTAATTCATGCCCTCTTCCCGGCTGAGCGGTATCAGGAAATCTTAGAGGTCGCATAATAGGTCGCAAGCACTCATCGGATCTTAATCTTACAGGAGGTGAACCCCCACCTTCATACCTTTGGTTTGGACGAAAAACTCTCACCGGTGGCGACCTTCTATCTCTAATGTGATCTCCCGACGGCTGATAGGGAACCCTCATTGATCCCATTCTAGTATCAGACCTGAAATTGGGAGAGCAACTTCGGGATCTTGATCGAGACCTCCGATTGTTACGCATGAGGAGAGGTTTTCTCCTGAAGTCATCACTTTCTTCAAAGTCATGAGCCCTACCAGATGTAGTATCATGGAACCTCATAGGGCGCATTGTGGGTCTCATGCAGTCATCAGACCTCATTCTTCCTGGTGAGCCAATAGCATCAAATCTCTGATTTGGATTAAACACCCTTACTGGTGATCTTTCTCTCATATGCTCACCTGCGTGAGTTGCTTGCTGATATGGCAGTCTGCCCCTCCCCATTCTAGCTTCAGACCTGAAATCAGGCGAGCGAGTTCTTGATCTAGATCTAGACTTTCTATGAAATCTATCACCACCAACTGGAGAGAAGCTTCTATCCCTTTTGCCAAAACGATTCAACATGGGTCCACCACCACCAGACTTAGGACCTTCATAAACCCCTGGTCTGCGATAACCACCCTCCCTAAAACCCCTATTAATCCCATTGAATCTTCCAAACCTGCTCCTCGGATTATTATCGGGGCTAAATTCTCGTGCCTTTATCATACCCATACCAAAATCATTACCTCTCTCTCCTGGTGATCCTCTTCTCATAATATGGTAGCCACTTCGTGAGGTGTTAATGATTCTTGGCCTGCGACCTCTAAATGGAGTATCACCTGAAGCTCTGATAATTCTCTCTCCATCATCTTCGGAGGCAGAATTAGCAACAGTGCTTTTTAGTTCAGGATTCCAAGAGCGGCCACCAAACCGACCCATTCGCATAGGAGGCTGCTGGCTCCTGTTCAAGGAGCCATCTGGACCATCAGTGTGATGAATACAGTCAAAGTTGCTGGACCTGCATGTAATCCGGCTCATGTATCAGTACCAAAGCATGCATACAATTATAGAGAATATTCAGTGAATATAGAAGGAAAATGTAGGGATGAAATTACCTGCTTCTTCTCATGGAATCAGCACCTCTGTCTGAAAATTGCAAATCCCTTCCACTAGCAGAGGCACCTCTGGCATTACGTGGAGGATCACAGTCAAACTCTTTTCCTACGCTATCAGCTTCTATACTTGACCTGCAATCCTTGTTATCCATCTCCCCCTTTTCAGAATTATTATTTGCTGCAGAACATGCCTTCAGGGCCGAATCTCTCTTTGGACAAACCGCTTCCACAGCATCCACAGTGGACAAACAACCCTGAATCCTTACAGAGCAGTTTTCTTCAACTCTCTTATCAAGCTTTGGTTGTTCATCAGCAGAGCTAAAATTATCTGATCGATAACTCTGCTTCTCAGACTCCCCAACCAAAACTTCTCCTGACAATTGGACAGAATCATTAGCAGCTTCATAAAACACAAAATCATCCCTATTATCGGAATCATAATCCACATGTTCAGTTTCCCCATCCTCACCTTCATTATCCTCCCAGCAGTGTGACTCTCTCAACTCTCCATCTTCCAAATGAGAATCATAACCTCCTTCCAATTCAGTAACAGTTCCAGCATTTTCAGTTACTTGACTTAAATCTTCATTAGAAACATGCAATCCATGACCACCAACATGGCCACTGGTAGGTTTGCTGCATGGATCAACAGCAACACAAGGATCCAATATTTTAGGCACAAGAGCTTCAGATCCATGATTATTCAGGGGGTCAGTTCCAGATACATCTGTGACAGTAGGCTTTTCTTCAATTTCTTTTGCAGACACTGCATTTATGGCTTGATCATCACCCATAGACATTGAGGTTGCAAACCGATCTACGGAATTGCTTGGGCAATGAGAAACACTAAGATTTTCCGACTCCACCATTAAATTTTCAGAGCTGGAAGGCTGAGATTCTAATGATCGGCCAACGGATTCCTCATGCTTAACTTCACTGTCAGCCAAAGAGTTCTGCTTAGGTGGACAATTTAGATCATTGACCCTACAAGAAACCTCTGCTTTGTCGGATGCATATAAGGTTGCAATTTCACACTTGCTACCAAGGGATTGATTTGCTGTTGATTGACACGTCACATTTTCCACATTTCTATCGTTTTCATCTACAACATTCTTTATGTTGGACTCCTCAATAAGGTTGCAATCAGCACCCTTCCCAACTGAAAGGGCCTTTCCTGAAAGCGGTGCCAGAAACAAACCAATTTCATGCTCCTCAGACTTGACAGTTTGCATTTCTTCAGCCACTTCATTTAGATTTTCAGAACCCGCACCAATATTCTCTTCGGATGCTAACGCTTTGGTGCCATTTAACCCTAGAGAAAGGGAATGATCAATAGTAGCACCTTCATTGACCACCTTTGGTTGAATTTCGGAAACAGTGACACATACTGAAGATTCCACCACGTGATTATTAACATCGGAAAGAGAATTTTTTTGCTTTAGGATACTTGTGACAAAACCAGATGAGACATCTGAGCAATGTCCCATCCTGCTGACTGAGGTACTAACACTAGTAGAGCCTGCGTTGTCTGGCAACGCCCTACTTTCAGGCTCCACACAGACTTCAGCTTGAAAGGTAACTCTATCACCACTAACAGTAGCTTCAAATTTCTTTGCCTCCAAGCCATCTACATCTACATTCTCGATCTCAAATCTCTTTGCCTCAGAACCCCCCGCATCCTCAAATATTTGGGATTCCATAGTATTCATTGGAGTAACTTCCACTACTTGAGTACTGGAAGCAAAATCTGTATCAGTATCATCAAGTGGATTACCCCACTCATCCATCACAGTATTCAAATCCCAATGGAATCGACAATCTCGAGTTGCACCAGAATTTTTTGCTGTTTTATCAGCGACTTCATGGGGAGAGTCTACGTCCTTATTTTCCTGTGCAGCATCACTTCTGATCGATGCAGGTAATCCAAGGCTTTCAATATTTTCTTTCTTGAGGGCTGTAGACACAACTGAATCATTTTGCTCAGCTTTCTGAAACTCTTTTATTGGGCTCATGCCAAGATCATCAGCATCATTGCTCACGCTAACAACCTGAATGCCATCAATTGGCAAACCAACCACAGAAGCTCCTTCAACATCTTTAATATCCTTTCCAGGAAAGTCAGGTGCTTGAATGCTTGGAATGTTTTCTTTTAAGTCAGGTGCGGAAACTAATGATTCATTTTTCTCCCTATTTAAGAGACCCATCTGACTTAGACACTTTCCAGCATCATCGGTGGAATAATCTAATCGATCACTACAAGCTGCAGCAGCAAGTATGGCAATACCTGAAAAATCCTCCCCCAAACCACGCGCGTCATTATTTAATGAATTTACACCTTTCTCGTCAATGTTACCATCACAATCAAAATTCCTGGATTTTGATCCTTCAGAAAAACTAACTCCCATAATTGGACTCTCTGTAGTAACATCTGAGCAGGTTAGCTGATCTGCTGTGCAATGGTCACCAACAAGGTCCTCGGAGTCTTCTAGACAATTTGGAGATTGCAGAGGTGGAGAAGCTGATCTAAGGAAAAGTCTCCTCTTCTTGATAGGAATATGCTCCATATTGCCAGGAAAACGCCGTCCATGAATCATTGCATTAGACTGCGAATCAAAGAAGAGCAATTAGAAATAAGCATTATTGAAAAGAGAAAAGAAACATATCCTTCAAAACTTAAATAACAACCAAATAATAATACTAACCTTCTCAGTCTCCGAACATTGCAATTTATTTAGCCGTTTTGGGCTCCTTTTCTCATGCTCGTGAACCATTTTCATGTTCTTTGAAACCGACCTTCTTGAGCGCCTTGATGTGTTCCTACCTTTGGATACTGTCTTCCAAGTCAAACTGGGATCAATAAAACTTGTAAGTTCTGGGCCAACTGTGGTCATGCTTTCACGACGGGATTCTATCCCATCAACAAACGATCTATTGACAGAGCGCTTTCCAAACGCCGTGTCTAGATTTTTTAACTACACACAGGGAAAGAGCTCAAACCTAATCTGCAGGGGAGGAGAAAGGGAAGAGACACAACATGTTAGAGAAAAAACCTCTACGATTCAGTCATCAAAACCGCAAAAAAGTCATCCTCCCCCCTTCCTGCCTCAACTATTGTCCCAATCTTAAATGAATATAATTTAGTCATCTACTACAATAAGTTGTCTGCCTAGTAAACTCTCCTAGGTATCCAGGTGGTCATCACCCCAGGCAAAGTAAGTAAAAAGACTTTGGGCATCATAGTATAGTAAATTAGTGTAAAAGTGATGTCCACCACAAAAGTTCCAAAATCAAAATCATACATGCATCCACAGACAACATGACCAATTAAGCAACAAACCTATTACAAGGCAAAATTTACAGGAATAAAAACTCACAATTAAACTGAGCACTACAAACAGGCTGAACTGATGAAGCAACCGTAGATCCTCCAGTATATGCAGGGAGCACTCGTTACAAGCTTACCTACCAAAAGATCAAAAAATAAATCAACACCTTTGTACAAAAATGTTCGGTAAGTTCAATAGAAGCTGAGTATGACCAAATAATTGCAACTTGCAAAAATTTCAAAACACCATAACACTAAACAAGTCGACAAGTGCATGCCACCACAGGTCATTACCTTGGGGCAAACTGTGTGAACCAGATATCAAGGCTGCGTGATATGTCCATAGGTTCATATAAGAGCTTTTTAACACTTCAGATTCCACAGATTCGTGGAATTCATGAATCTATGCATCATCAACCCCCCAAAGGTATAACTAAAACAAATAAATTTCATATGGCATAAACAAAATAGTTGCAATTTGATGTCAATTTTGTCATCCTGGTCATGTAAAAAAGTCCAACAGCCCAGCCGGACTTATACCCTAAAAAAAAACCGCATACCTAACAGACGACTTTCAATCCAACCTACCCACAGGCAGCACATAACAGCACAATGTAGTAGTAGTAAATTCATCTCATATCTCTCATATTCAGGGCCATGAGGTATCTGTTTCGCTACAATTCGGATAAAGACCTAATTGACTAAGAAATCATAAAGCATCTTCAAATTCAAGTGAAAGCACCTAAGACGTAGTTCATCATCTTCAACTTCCAAGTAAAAGATCTGAAGCAATAAGCTCCAATCATACAAGTATTATTTCACAATGGATTGAAGCATATGACGCGATTAGATGACAGATGATCCAATCACATGAATCACGGATAAACAACATGATCCACAAAGGAATATAGTTCCACATCAGAAGTCTCGTGAATTGGCAATATAAATAGGGGGCAACTGAAAGTTCAAAACCCTAATTATTTTACTAAGTACTTGACTGATCTGATCTTCGATTTTTCGCCTTTGCGAAGCCAATTGAGATTAATAATGTTGGTTTCTCGCTCAAAATCATAGTATAAACGAGGATAGATTGTAAAACCTCTCTTCCAAGTTATTAAAGATACTTCTTCGCCGCCGACATCGAAACGCAGCTTAAAGACTAAGATTTTCTCATCTTGTTCTTCTAGAAAGTAACTCAAATCATGTAGATTCATTATCATCTCTCCAAAACAGGAACAGAAACAAGTTTTTCTAATTCAATCCACCAACAGAAACAGGATCTGGTGAAAAATTGCCTTGAGAAATCGACGAATTTAATATTCAATTTTTCAATTGACGAACAACCTTGATTTGAATTCAAATAACACCTATAATTTCCAGAATACAAAAAGCGTGCACAAATCAATCAAAAAGCTTAGGGTTTTCAAATACCTGTGAAGTTTTTTTTCCTCTTTCCAATCTCATTCAAAAACCACAAAAACTCCACTGCGAAGCAATCAAACGATTCCTTTAAACTCCTCGCAAAATTCTTCAAATTCCTCGCTAAACTATCTCTCAATAAATATTATTCAACCTTGCTTTACCCCTCTTTAATGGCCGCCAACAAGGAAGAGCAGAATTACGAGCCGTCAGATAAAGAAGAAAATCAAATCTGGACCGTTGATCATCGATCAATGAAAAACCTAATTTTCTCTCTCTAAAACCTCGCGCTCTCTCTTCTTCAACATTGACCGCCGAAAGGAAGAAGACAAATTGTAAGCCGTCGGATAATCAGGAGAACAAATCTGGACCGTCAATCAGCGATTGAAAAAAGATAAACCTAACTTTCTCTCTCCTCCCCCTGTGAGTTGTGTTCTTCCCTAAAATCTTCTTTCAAACAATGAGTGGGATGATGCAATTGCAGAGAGAGTGGGATAACCACGCAATTTATTATCCTTTTTATGACGATAATACCCTTAGGGGTATGGAATAATTACCTGGATTGTCCCTTTTTTTAGTCAAAGTAGGATTCATAAAAGTCAATGATAAAAAGAAGAGTCTTTCATACGGCAAAAGAGGTGGACCTAAGTGGGTTTGGAATCTTGTGTTTTTATAATGATGAAGATTGATTGATAAATTTATGGAGAAATTTCCTCGAAATTAAACAACTATTTTTTCCTTTAATAAATAATTTAAAGAATTTTTTTCCTTTTATTAATTGAAAATACTTTTTCCGTTTTTTTTTAATTGCATCATAGGGATTTTGGAGGCAAAATTTGGTAGTGGGAAAAAGTAAGATAGAGAAACGTAAAAATACAAAATTGTCCATATAATGTAAGATAAAATAAAAAGTAAGTGTGAAAAAGTAAGGGTATGTTGGGTATTTACAGTGTGAACATAGATATTTTTTATCCTAATAAAAATTTTCTAAAGTAGTAAGTGATGCAATAAAAAAAACGGAGGAAGTAATAAATATCTTTTATTATTATGGGCCCTCTTTCCACCAACAATCTTTTGACACTTGCGCATATTAAAGGCTAATGGCCCTTATTTTTTGACTTTTTTAATAAAAAGATGCTTGATATTAAAAAGTCGAGTTTTTTAAATAATGATGTTTATTAGGCTCGAACTTGAAATTTGAAAGTTGTTATGCAATGTCGAATTCACCAACTAATCCAAGCATGTGGTAGCTAAATTACCTGAATGTATTTGATGTAGAAATTCTTAATGAAGAACATATTTTTTTTAATTTGACTCTTATATTTAGATTATTTGGAATGTGAATTATATGAGTTTTGTTTGTTGCCTTACAATTTTGATGTTTCAATGATTATTCATATTATATAAAATACTTTTATGATGATCAAAGAAAAAGAGGAAAGCACAATGATGATGATAAAAATACTCAAAGTATATACCATTTCATAACCGACTCGAAAAACATGACAAGACTAATACAAGCACTCTTCATTCTCAAGGTTACTTGCTTGACTTCAATCATACACTCAAATAGATCATGCTAGTTGTTTAGGCTATTAGCTTGTTTTGAACATGGTTTTGATTCAAATTGAATTGGTCCATCATGACAAGCTAATTTATTCTCCTTATAAGATAAGATAAGGTTATTTTAAAGTCACTTTCAATTGAGGAAAAAGTAATCGTCAATACTAAGTCTTCATTGTATGGTAATTCTATAAAATATATAAAGTAGGTAATTTGGTGTTGTACAAAATAATTACAGAATAGTTTGCTACACTGCCATGTTATGTTGTGAGAATCGAGTAATGAGAAGAAAAAAAAATGGGGGTAACCAGTATAGATGCTCGAATCGAATTTTATAAAACAAACAAAGTGAGCCTCAACTCCTTAAGGATATTTTCAAGAACCCTATCTAGCGTTCATATTCAATAAATAAAGGAACATTTTCCATAGAAATTGCTTATTTACAAATTAATTCCCTAATTGTGTCGGTTTAAAAACTTATTCCCATGGTACTGTCCACGTAGGATCGGATAGATACAAGGTTCATTTTTTTTCTTTCTATTTTTATTAATTCTGTTTCAACAAAGAACCGTTAACGGTGATAGCAGTTCTATACAATAGAATCGCTAACACCATTAGCGGTTCTTAGACAGGGAGTATCCGAGCCTCTGTCCCTTTTTGAAGGTATTAAAGTGAATTTGGAGGTGTCTCTTTAATAGTGTTAATGAGTCGGTAATGCATAACACCTCAGACGACTGCCTTAATATGAAAACCAAATGTGAAGAATCTATAAATGGAGTGAAGTATGATGTAGCAATTAATCGGGAAAAAAGCAAGCAGAATGGAGAAACAGCTCCGAGAAGGAGAAGCTGGTTTGAAGGTGGAGAGAAAGTAGGAGCAGGTCAGCAATTAACAATTAATGAAGATGTTGGGCTGACAGTAGAGATGGATCAAAAATCCAACGCAAAGGGTTGTGTAGAGAAGCTCGGAAAACTTAATAGCATGTTTATTTCACGAGAGAAGGATGATGTACACAACAAAGTGGAACCAATAAAGGTAATGGTGTTAGCGATCAGGATGATTTAAATAGGTATAAACCGCTAATGCCATTTGTGGTTCTTGTCTAAGAACCACTAATGCCATTTGCAGTTCTTGTCAAAGAACCGATAACATCGTTAGCGGTTCTTTGATGACCCAAAAATAATTTTATTTTTTAAAAAAATACGAACCTTGTACATATCCTACGTGGACAATAGCGTGGAAATAAGTTTTTAAATCGATGCAATTAGAGAATTAATTTATAAATAAGCAATTTCTACAAAAAATCGTTCAAAAATAAAGTGTACAGAGAGGAAAATCCAATTGTCCTAGTTTTCGACATTAGGGAACTGAAGTGACTAATCATTTATAGAGTTACATGCTGACATTCTTTAGAAAAATCTTACACTTGTTGCTCCTAAGGACTAGGGCTTCGTTTAGTTGAAGTTGAATTTTATGGGAATTTATTTTCCAAATGAAATTCTTAGGAATTTGTTTAAATTGTTTGGTTGTGATAATGGGAAGTTGAAATTAATTCCCATGAATTTTGATTAACCTTGGGGGGTTTAGCTAATTTACATTCTATATTTTGTGGGAAGTAGAAATTCCCATGAATTCCAACTTTCCCCATTTTTGTTGTTTTGTATCAACCAAACAAGTACCCAAATTACAAATTTCCATGAATTTCCAATTCCCCCATTTTATTTTATCAATCAAACAAGCCCTAGATAGGCTTCATAATTCTCGAGATCTACATTAAGGATATTTTGCTAAATTTCACAAGAAAACATGCTCTATCGCATACGCGGCCCAAACACCTACCGTATTTATATATTGTTAATGATAAACAAATAAGTTTATATATATATGTATATATATGTATGTATGTATGTTTTATAATTATACTAGATTAGAACGGTTTATATAAAATCTATTTTTATAATTTGTACATTTAAAAAAAATGGATAAATATAAATAAGAATTATGCACCTTGTACAAAAATATTTGTAATTTTAAAATTTTAGATTTTCATCAAAATTATGATATAAAACATGTTCAACGTTGCCTAATACATATTCCAATGTAGGAGTCAATTTATTAGTGTGCTATTTACAATTGTTTCGTTTTTTTAGGATAAATTGATAGATTGTAGTTGTAATATGAAAGCTTCTAATATGGACAATGATGACATCAACAACGTTTTATTTTAATAATAGCTAATAGATTTAATCATTGGCATTAGGGAGAAACTAACTACCCTAACATGTACTTTTAATTTTGAAGAAAGAATCCTTCCCCGGGGAGGCAGTGACACAGTGTACCATATGTCCAAACTTTAGTGGGGGACAACACCATCCCATGTTCACGCCAATACTGAGTGAAGACTAGAGTAGTAGAGTGGAAAGCCAAATTGACCAGCAATAACAATAAACAATGGTTTTTTGCTATCCAATTTAGTTTAGTGTGGTTATCTCTTTTAATTGATAGTTAAGTGCATAACAAAGTGCAACAGTAATTGTTTACTATATATGCATACTTGTCAAGTTTAGTGATTAAAATGATTTGCTATCTTAACCATTTAATGGTTAATATTCTAACAATCACATACTCTATTCTATGCGTATGGCCAGAGGTGAATGCACATACACTCAAGTGGAGTCCATTGACCCCACTTGAACATGGATAAATGAAATATTTTGTATAAAAAAAAAATTAATTTTTTTTATCGTTAAAAGTACCCACTTGACCCCATGAAAATTTATCAATATTTTGACCCCATTAAATAATTTTTTTGGATCTGCCACTGAGTATGGCCAAATGACAAACATATTAGTTAACGCGTTATATTTAAATTATTATTTTTAGTCTTTCTTAATCACATATCAATCTTTGTTATACTAATTTTCATAACATTATATATCAAATTATTAGGTGTTTAAGATTTTTCTTTCGCCTATTGGTTATGACAAGAGAAAAGGATGAAACAATGTATGACATTATGGAGAAAAAAGAGATAAGCATTATATGATGTATGAAATACTTTATCCATTTTTTTATGTTTGAATATATTTGTTGAGAGTTAAAGGTTTAAAAACTCGAACCGATCTTTCCGTTGATCAATAACGTAAAAATTATTTAGATGGATCTTTTTAGACTCGTCGTAGCATGTAGTTTCATTATATATATATATATATATATATATATATATATATATATATATATATATATATATATATATATATATATATATATATAGCACATCCCTTATGTGAGAACCTAATATATTTGAGGGCATATTACAACCGTTGGATCAATTGTATTCAATGGCTACCATTTATTACGGTCAAACATAATTCCAAAAAAAAAAAATCAGCGTTTTCTCTCTCCTCCTTCATTTTGCAAGTTATTTTCTCTCTCCCCCTTCATCACCATTGTTGAAGAAACCCATGAATTTCCCTCAATTGCAGTTATTCTCTCTCATCTCCCTCTGGATTTCCAGCAAAACCTACGATTCTCCCCTCTTTCTCTCAAAACCCTAAAATCAATCGGCGATCAATGCATCAAAGATCATCATTTCACAAAAATCGATTTCTTAGACGCCGAAATCTAATTTTTGCAATCCCTGAGTTTCGAGGTCGGAACCACGAAGAATTTGATGTTTTTGGTGATTGAAGAATTGATGATGAAGCTTAAAGAGGTGGCTAAGGTTGGTGAGATGGTGAGTATCGAGGTTTGTTGCGATGTCATAGATTTGATGTATGAGAACGATGAGATTTCGCGGATGAGAATTCGGTGTTTTTGGATGAGGTTTGTTTCTTCTTCTTTTGCAGCATAAGAACAAATCTTGATGTGGTACTTTTAGGAAATTTTGGCTTGCGTTACTTTAAAAGGTTAAAATGTTGTTTGGATAAGGAAACGATAGAAGAAAAAGATTTCGATATGTATCACACAATTCAAATTTCTTTTATTGTTCAAATCCCTCACATTCTCTCTCTGAAATTTCGACTCAGGGGCTTCACTTAGATGAAGATCAAATCCGCGATATTCAATTGTTCATCATCAAATTGTTGTAAGTTTTGCAATTTAATCACTTAATTCCTGTATTATTCGATTTTTTTCATAATGTTATTCAATTTTGCTTTTTTTTTCAATATTTTGTATGTTTTTTCGGCTTAATTTTTTTATCATATGTATTTTTCATGCTAAATTACGATTTTGATTGTTTCCAATTGGATGGCATTTCAATACATTCTTTGTGTGTGTTCAATTGTTTTCAGTTTTGTTTATTTTCCAAATTTTGTGTTTGCGATCGATTTTTCGATGATATTTTGCTGAATATTATGTGTTATATAGAGTCACTTCCATGCTTTGATTACTGTAATGTTTTTAAGAAACCTTATATGGTGTTAGATGCTGCCGCATTAGAGAATCTGGAAATATTTGAGAATAGTAAAAATGGGGGCTCCTCTAGGTAGGTACCTTTACACTTTTGAGTTTTGATGAAATCTTTTCTGGTTTTGGTAAATATGGCTTGGATTGATTTTTTTTTTCTCCATCTATAAAGGACGTTGTACTCCCAGCTTAATCATTGTGTGACTGATTTTGGGAAGAGCTTGCAAGGCCTCTTTATCATGTTGAGTCAATTAAGGAACGACAAGATGCTATAGTAGCCCTTAGGGTATGCTCTGCAATCTGCATTTTATAAGCCTATCTGACATTGTGCTTTTAAAGCTTAATTTTATATGTTTATCACAGATATGTGGATTTGCCTCGTACTTTTACTTTTATTCAGAGTATTTTAGATTGGTTTGTCAATAGTGACGAAGTCCACATAGTTGATTCCACTACAACACATAGGTTGATTGAAATCATTGAATGCATTGCCTTATTGTTTTTCTTTGTCAAACTATAGCTATTTTTAGTCTTGCTGTCAGTTTTTGTAGTTGGATATTTGACCTGCTTCTGGCCACAACATTGTGTAGAAAACTTCTGTGCCAAGTAATTAAGTATTCTGAATCAAACTTTACCTGCCTTATAGCTCTTGATATCAATAGTGTTGTATAGGGAGACGTTCTGAAACAATCTCTGTGTTGTTTTCATGTACCCTGAACTAAATGAATGTCTCTAATTTGGTTGGTCCTTCAGTTATCAAATATTACGACTTTTATACACCGTGTTTTTTGCCTGATGTGATTCATGAAAACAACTAATAAACCATACATCTGTCAGAGCAAATGTCTGCTTATTTTACAAATGAGTAATAATTATTTGCTAATTTCACAAATGAGCAAAGAAATGCTTGTTGATTTAATAAATGATTAAAGAAATGTTTGCTCATTTGACAAATGAGCAACTAACTATTTGCTTATTTGCTAAATGAGCAAAAATTGATTGCCCATTTTTCAAATTGAATGATCAAAGAAATGTTTGCTTATCTTACAAATGAGTAACTAATTTGCTTATTTCCTTCAAAAAAAATAGCTTATTTGACAAATGAGCAAACAAATGGTTGCTCATTTCACAAATGAGCAAACAAATGGTTGCTCATTTCACAAATGAGCAAAGAAATTAATTGCTTATTTGACAAATGAGCAATTAAGTTTTCGCTCATTTGTTAAATTAGCAACTAACTATTTGCTCATTTGCTAAAAGTTGATCTTTCTTCATTGATATTTACAAAAAATTACAGGTTATAAAATTGCAAAATAATACTTTGCTCATTTATCAAATAAGCAAACTATTTAATGCTCATTTGTCAAATGAGCAGATAATTTTGGCTCATTTTGTCAAAAATTAATATTTATTCTTTACTAATTTGTCAAAATGAGGAATTAATTTTTTACTCATTTGTCAATCAACAATTATTTTTTGCTCATTTGGCAAATGAGCAAAAAAATTCAATGCTTCTTTGTCAAATGAGCAAACTATTTAATCCTCATTTGTCAAATGAGTAAATGATTCTTGCTCATTTAGTCAAATTAATGCTCATTTGTGAGTGTGTTTGAATGTTTTAAATACGTTAGCCTACTAGCTCAAGGGTAGAGCATTGTGCAAATGCACAAAAGATGTGGGTTCGAATGCCACGTAGGTTCATTTATGTAATGTGGAGACACAAGTTTGTATGAGAGTTTAATTGTAACAAAGTTTATATAGCTATAAATCATTTCAAACCATTTTTTTGCTCATATAATTTAGTACGAGTTTGATTTTTTTTTTTTATAATTAATTTTGTTCATAGAGATAACCTATATAGGAATTGAACCTACATCCCCTATGCATTTGCATAGTGTTCTACCATTTGAGCTAATAGGTTTATCATATGCTTTAAATCATTTTCTATGTTATAAATTTTTAATCAGCTCATTTGATAAAACAACAAAGAATTGTTTGCTCATTTGATAAAACAAAGAATTGTTGCTCATTTAATAATGAGCAAAGATTTGTTTGCTCGTCTCATAAATGAGCAAAGATTTGTTTGCTCCACCTCTGACAATAACGATCTCTAAACAGAAAATATATGAGAAAAAGGAAGTATTGCTCCTTTTTTCTTTCTTTATCTTATTACCTAACAATAATCTTTTGATTGGAGACTGGTAGAGTTTGCTATTCTGGCAGATAAAAGAGGAGAGCACAATGAACAATTCTACCAACAGAAGAATTTTTGTTAATCCTGATTTTAGCACCTCTTCTCGGACTGACCTAGATTGAAATAGGACAATTTAAATTATAATACTTATTATCAGTAGTTGATTGCACTTCAAATTATAACACTTGAAAGGATCAACTAGCAAGTAACATGTTCTGAAATCATATATACAATAATCAGTTAGGGAAAATTCACATTTGTAAGTGGCTACCTCCAAAGTGCTCCACTTATACAGGAAAAACATACACAGAGCAACAGCAAGCAAATAAGCATGTTTAGGAAATTCTTTCTCCAATATTTGTGCTAAACAAAGTAAAAGGTACCATGCACTAGCTGATATATGCAATTTGAGGATTGGGAATGGAAAGGGCCAAAGGGGTGGGAACTAAGGGCCAAAAACGCTAAGATTTGTCACTTGTGGCTCGTAGACTTTCCATCTGCTGCTTACCTAATTAATTGCCTACTTTCCTAACTCTAAAGATCCTATTCTATTTCACTGTAGTACTGCCTGTAGGTCTGTTAGAGCTACTTGATGGGGCTTTATGTTCACTGTGGACACTATCACTAGATCAAATAAAGCACCAGATCAGATCTACCTCTATCTTCAATATTTTGCTACCCTTGTCATTTATCTCACTTTTCACTCTTACAATGATGGTTGCTCCACAATGATTATTTTTCTTGGCACTTTGAAATAGTCATGACAACAGTTCTTATTCTACTAGACTCACTAACTTCATATTTCCCAAGTTATGAAATATATCATGGCTATATTACTGCAATAAGTTATACAGTCTTAATAATATAATGTCAAAACGGCTGTCATTCGATCATTTGGAGGGCAAATTAAGCTCTGTACTTGAACTAAACATATACCAATACCATACCAAGAGTAGGAAACATGCTATGTCTTATGGCTAGCTCCAAGAAAAGTGCATGTTAGGTTGTTACTTTCGAGTGTTGGGAGAGGGTATCCAACTAGCTGTAAGGATGTTTTCATCCGAAACTATAGCAGGCACAAAAAACATCAACAAACCACCTTTACTTTCCTACCCCAACCACCAAACCATTTCAATCAACCCCACAGATCGAGCTACAATACAACCATAATCACAAACATCACAGTAAACTCCCTCAACCCAGCAAACACAGATCAAAACAAGACTAATGCTTGTTTTTGGTGCACTTATAAGTGCCAACCCACAACAAAAACTCTAGTTGTGTCACAATTGAACTATGATTGAAATGGGAGATGGAAGAGAAAGAATCATGACAGGGGTTCTTAATTTATATTATGGACCAAATGAAAATATTTACAAAAAATAATACTCCATACACAAATATATAATACATTACAAACAAATTTAACAATTTGTCAAAAGATGGAACTAACAGCTCAAAGAAGATATGTAGAGCCGAATTAAGTAAAATCACAACATCAAAAGTGTTGAAGATAAAACTAAGAAAACTTTTGTGCATGCAGTGGTTAGAATAATCACAGGTAATGAATGATCAACAACACTCATAAACTTGAAAAAATTCTCCTAAAAATATAAAAATCTATAAGAATTAGCTAGCGGTAAGTTTGAATTTACAAGTTGCATTTCAGCACACAAATCTTCGAAGGTATAAACTAAGATTTCTGAAACGTACTCAAGGCAGGAAGCAACATAATCCTAATTCCTAATTCTACCCTAACCCTAACCCCGACAAAAGGAAGCAAAATCAAAACCATCCACCATTAGAATTGAACACTAATTTGACAACAACTAACACCAGCGCTAGTACGTGTCAACATATATATATTGTCAACGAATTGAATGAATCATTCGTTCATAGAAATTCTCCACTAATATATGTACCACTAGCAATTGAAAGGATCAACACAAGCAACATGTTATGAAATCACATATACAATAATCAAGAATTTCTTTCCAGAGGCAACAATCAATAATACCCACACTATCCATCCAAAACCAGCAGTATGTGCGATTAATCATTCAAGAAACACTCACTAATCAAGAAAATGTACTCCAGCACACATTATTTATCATACAATTCAACTATCAACAACAAAAATAATTACACCAACTAAATTAATCACAACAAAATTATTCAATAAACCGCACATAAATCGCACAAAAAAATGGTAAAATGACGCAAAAATAAATAAATCAAACAATAATAATCTAAGAGTAGTGCTGAAATTACTTAATATCGCTGAAATTCGAACACTAAAATCACTGAAATTCGAACGTTAAAATCGCTGAAATTCGAACCTTAAATCCGCTGAAAATTCCAGTCCTCAAATCTTTGAAGTTTGAACCCTAAAATTGCCGAAAAATATTGAAAATCAAATCAGAAAAATCGTAATATATAATCAAAATTCGTAAACAAAAACTTACTTTCTTCTTTCATATGTAAGAATGGAAGATGTCGGTTCTTGATTCGAATTTGTAATTAAAACCATTTTCTAATTCATGAAGTAGCATAAACTAGGGTTTTTTGTTCTTCAATTAGAAGAGTGAAAATCAAACAAAGCAATCCAAAAACTAAACAAATCTTGAAAAGGATAACGTAATTATCAGATTGAAGTGCGAATTTGATGAAATTCAAGTAGAAATTGAAAAACATGTAAAGTGTGGATCGAATTTAGAGAGAGAGGTAAAGAAGACTATTTTAGAGAGAGAAAAAAACCAATGAAAAAGAAAGAAGAGAAGGGGGTATATCAGCAAGTAAAATTACAATTTTGCCATTATTGTAGCGTGTTTTGGGCGGTTGGATTGAATCTAATCAACGGCTAAGGTGTATTCTCATATTAGTGAAGGTTCTCACATATATATATATATATAGTTTTACTAGTATTTAGTTAAGGATATTAACACTCAAACATGTTTTTTAAGAAACTAACTGTTTGGGCCTAGTCCATGTCCTAAGCCCAGTCATCTGAAATGACGAAAATACCCCTCCATGATCCAACCCATCATTAGCCATCACAAAGTACGGATAGTACGGATTTACCTCTAATCTGTCCACTCAAGTACAAGACTGCTACCTGAAAAGTACATCTATAAATAGCTCATCATTCATTAGTGATGGAGACTTTTTCTAATTCTCTCTCTCCTTCTCTCTACTTTCTCTCTCTAAAAGTGCAATTCGCTGACTTAAGCATCGAAGGGGCTTTCCCGGGTCACACCCACGGGGCAACTAATCTTCTCTGTTTTGAAGGAGGAGCTCTCAGACACACCTTTACAAGGGCGGAGCTCTCAGACTTTTGGAAAATTGGACATAGAGTTTAGGACATCTTTATATACTAGAGATACCTTGACACGTTTAGGATAATTCTGTTTTCAGAAACACTAACCACCATATATATTCCTACCAAAGAAATTAATGAAACTTTTATGATTTGATTGTTTCTTTTGTGCATGTCATAAAAAAATACTGGCCTTACTTGATAATTTAATCTGTTAAATTTATCTGGTTTGACTATTATGTAGACATTTTGTGTAGTCCAAAAAACCCACATTTAACTTATCTTCGGCCCAACTTCATCCATTTCACCAAATTGCAGTTATTGCGCTACTGAAATTATGCAACAAACTTTGGGCCTGCTTTCCAGCAAACCTGAAACCATTTTAGATCTTGACCAATTTGCTTAGCAATGCTACCTTAGAAACAAAAAAAAAAAAAAAAACATCTTGCAGATTATTGTAGATGGTTCATAGTTGACCAAGAACTCCTACTACCACTAGCACCGGAGCACACACATTTTAGCAGAAGTATAAAATGATCACATTATGACAGAAGTAGGCTAAATTTCAATTAATATTGTAGCAACTGTGTTGAAAGTTTATGTAAAATTCACAATATAGCTTCTTCAACATAAATGCACTAATCTCCCATCAAAGACTTCATATTATGCGCTATAATCAAGTGGCTTTGATGGAAACTCCAACATCCTCATCCTCACCCATTTTTAATCCTTATAAGCAGTTGACAACACTCTAATTTTTCAGCTGAAAACCGTAAAGATGGGAAAAACAGAAACAGAGTTGTGAAACCAATTCTTAATGTGCCAACAGGCATTGTTAGAAACGTACAAGTGTGATGCGTAAATGTGCATTGAGGATACAACAGACTAGTAAAACAAAGAGCTCTGAAACTAATATTTATACTCCACTTTTAATATTGGATCAATACAACAAAGTAAGGAGATAACACAAGAAAGTATTGATCTCCCTCTAGCAACAAAAGAAAGCAGCATTCTATGTTATTCTACAATCATGGAACAATACTAGCGTACTGGGAAAAAGCCAAGATGTCACAAGGAAATGAATGTTACTCTGTAATTACTAGGGTTTTCATGCAGAGAAACTAAGTTCTGAGGCTCTTGACTGGTGACTCCTTCAGCTTCAAGGGTGAAAAGTCCAAATTAGTAAAATCCATACTCCAATCAGGAGACCTTGGAGACTTTGGTGCTGGAGGACTTGCAGGAGCGCAGATATCCCAAGTTTCGAATTCCATCTCTTCGATCTCCATTGGAATTTCAAGCTGAAACATAAAAGCATGTGTATGATGAGCAAAACGGATAGAGAAGCGGGGCTTGGGGAAGAATATAAGAAAACCAAGTTACATCATTATCAGGACAAACCTCCAGATTCGGGGCCTTAGACAGTTCAGGGTGCTGAGGAGTTGCAACAGATACAGAATCTGAAATTAAAAAGCATGTATAATTTATCATCAACACAGCCAAATCAATAGAAAGTATATAATCCAGCAAGAAATTCTTTCAGCTTAGATGTTACCTCTTTTAAGGGCAACAGTTTCCAGGAAATAATCCAAGCTCATAGATTGTCGATTTGCCTTGATGCACTCATCATGGTTATGCAGAAAACCTTCCCCTAAAGCAAAACTCTGGACTTGCTCTTTCTTGACAGCAGCTGAAACACTCTGAGTGCAATTACTTTTAGCCGATTTCTCTTGAGCAGTCAGCTTTTTCGAGTTTGTTAGATCACCAAGAGGTTTCCTGCCAACCTTATTAGGCTGCACCACCTTCTCTGGAGCCTTGAAACCATTGAAATTCTTCACTGATGACTTGTCCTTTGCAGGTGGCTTCCTAGAGTTGGTCATATCAGTAAGAGGTTTCCTGGTTACTCGAGGCTGCTGAATTTTCTCATGAGCTCTAAACGCATTTTCATCCATTCGAATGATAGGTTCAAACGACGTCATTGATGCTAAGGGGCAGATTTCAGTACACTTCTGTTTCAAAACTGCAAGGAACTCAGCCAGTGACACAATCAGAATAAAGACATAAACTTTAACTTGCAAGAATCATCCTAAAATGCTTACCTTTACGGGGTAGTCAATTCGACAACACAACCACAATGCACACAATTACACAAAGAAAGACAGCACCTAAAATGCTTACCTTTACGGGGTAGTCAATTCGACAACACAACCACAATGCACACAATTACACAAAGAAAGACAGCACCAAGAAGATACAGAACAGATACAAAAATCCAGCAAATTTCACCTCAGTAAAGGCCAAAACTATGTATGCACTGGGAATATAATGAATTGCCTAATTTACATCATATAAATCCATTCCCAGAAATATAATTTCCTTTCCGCCAGACGAGCTCTAATTTCCTAAACAATCCCACTGCATTTTCCACAAAAACCCCTCTAGAAGAAAAAGGAAAAACTACATTCCATCAAAATTAACCATTAATAGCATAAGTTCTTTGAAAATTTGATTAAAACCCACAAATTATAACCGATTTCTGACAAAGTATAAAGACCCCAAAAAAATTAAAGCCGAAAAACCCTAAAACCCTAACCGGAAATTTTGCAATTGCAGATTTCAAATATCAAGCGAAAAATTACCAAATTTCTGCAAACAATTTAATATTTTGCACATAATTTCGACAGAAACAATCAATAATTATGCTAACTTAATAATCAACTCTCAAATTTTGACATATAATCGCTGCAGAAATTTTGTATAAAAATTGTACCCAAAAAAATACTAATTAGGGAAAGATTAAAGAAAAAATTGATGCTTACTTGAGTAAAAACTTCAGTTGATCGAAAATTTGAGTGGATTTTCTGGCGCTTAATTCTTGAACCTCTCAACGTCAAAGTATGAGTTTACAGGGAAAGAGATGCAATAAAAGGAGAGTTATTTGTTACTCTATGATGCGTGTATAAAAAGGCGCTCTTTGCTACAACGGTAACATTTTAGAGTTGATTTACGATTATACCCTTTTGTTTCTTTACTATTGTGGATCGTACGACTTGGCCCAGAAACTACTTGGATCGTAAAAATGGGCCTATTGATTGGTTTGATTTTGTGATTTTCCTATAGTTGCCCACATTTGGGTAGGACTAGAAAAGAAAAATATACCGAGTATTGGTATTGAGCAACATTAAGGACGGCACTAGGTCAGATTTGGGTCGAGTTTAATTAATAAATAAAACAATAAGTTTTGTATAAGTCGGGTTTATGTTATTTTTATTGTAGAACGGTTAATTTAAGGGTGATTAAAACAATTTTCAAGGGTAGAATTTAGGTTACAAAAATGGTAATTTTTATAATATATAAGGGTATCTTTAAATACTAATAGGTTAACTTTAACCCGTTTAACAATAACTTAGTAAAAGGCCACCTTAATCAATGATTTGTGTAAACAATAACTCAATGTTTGAATATAGACTCAAATCTAACATGAAACCACAGGTTATAAAAAACTATGTTCCAGACAATTCATTAGTTCTATTGAATCCACAGTTGAAAATGTGTCCAAAATGAATTGTCCACATTTTTAAATTTTTTTTATTATTATTAATTTTTTTTTTTTTTTTTTTTTTTGCGTGGTATTCTTTTCGGGTTTTTTTTTTTATGTGTAATACTTTGTAAAAAAAGTTAAACATGAGCATGACATTTTAGTGTGTTTTTATGTAATTGTTACATTTTAAAACAATAACTCATAAATATGTCTTAATCAAATTTAAAATACTTCGTACGGAGTAGTATAGTAAGGTTTCCAATAAAATAAAAAAACTTTTAAAAAAAAAGTCTAATATCTTAAGACCCAAACCATTTCCAAAAAAGTTTGGCCTTGGACCCTTAAAAAGGCTGGCTCTAATAGATACCGTACAGAATCCTAGACTCATTGCCATTCTTTAGCCAACATGTTTTATAGTAATGGTTATATTATTACATTGTATCTTGTAAATAATAATAATAATAAAAAAAAAAAAAAAAAAAAAAAAACAACAACAACAACAACAAAAAAAAAAAAAAAAAAATTAATTGTACGTAGTAAATAGTTTCAATAAAAGAATTTTGTTAGTATGGTTTTGCACTCATGTTTACTTATTGGGTCAGTATTACGCATCTGTTAGTTATTTCATACTCAAGCCCTTCACTAAATCATTAGATTGCTTATTAATCTCTTATTTTTTATGTTGATTCCATGTTAATGACCTACTAAATTGACAAACGAATACTAATATTTTTAGTTTTATTCTTGTTATACTTAATACTCTATGCTATGTTATATGGACTCGGGTACCCGTGTTCGACACAGGTATGTGTCCAGGCATCCGACTCAGTTATGTTGTGAAAAAAATAATAATAAAAAAAAATCCATGGTTTTGAACCAAAAGTGAAGTGTCCAAGTATCATACCCATATCTGAGTTTCGAGGATTTGACATGAATATTTGAGATGAAATGAATAGTCCGTGTGACATAGACTCTATGTTACTACGTTAGTTAGCCTCAATTGGTTGATGTACAGCCCGGTTATAGCCCAAAAAGGCCCAATTACAGCCCCAATACCCGAAATTGTTGGACCCTATCATTAGCTCCAACCCATACTTTATGTTTCTTAATGATACTTGTATTGTATATGAAGATAAACGAATTGCAATAAACACAATCATTTTTAGTATATTATTTGGAAGGAGGTAACTTAAGCTATAATTATACAATAGTACCATAGTTGAAGTTCAAACTCTGAACCTTATATTATACAAGTAACAGAATTGAATAGAAAAATGCAAGTAGTGAAGTAGATGTGGAAATTGTTAGGTAGAAATCGAGTTGATTCTAGCTTCTAACAAAATTTCCATGACTTGCAACTTGAAAAAAAAAAAAAAAAAAAAAAAAAAAAAAAATTAAAAAAAAAAAAAAAGGGTACAAGTATAATGTGTGAAACAATAAGGTAAATTTCATTTTGAGGAATTCTAAGATTCTAGTAGTTAGAGTCATAAATGCCTCTAATAAGGGCATATTGGTCAGTTCAATTTTACCGTACGTGGAAAAAAAAATGTCATAACACGTGTTGGTATTTCATTATACTTTAGATGGTATCATCATGATACCAACAACCTTATTCAGTGATACCAACGAATGTAAATAAATTTTGTTAGTTTCGATATAATTTGTTGTTTGTATCATGTGAAATACCAATCCATCGTGTGTTATTAGAGTCATCCATGACTCTAATTATTAGAGGCTAATAGTTCCTCATTTTAAAATCCAAGTTTATATGAAACGCTCTAGCTAGCATATCCAAATCGTTAGTAAAGAAAACTGTTATAGTAAAATAAAATTAAAAAAAAAAAAAAAAAAAAGGTACCACAATAAATAGTTTGTGAATTGTGATGCAATTAATGAATTTAAAACATTTATGACGCTAGAAAAAAAATGCAGTAACATTCTTTTACATCTTTTGGGTAATTTAGGCTCACACAAGTACGCATACAAAATGTTGTTCTGTTGGAAACAAAATTTAGAATATTTGTTATTCCACTGGTTCTGTAGTTGTTACAAAATTTTAAATACATTAGGACTACGGAAAACTAATTTTTCTTGTTCAAATTTGGCCTTATTAACTAGAGTTAAGGCCAATTGGTAAGCTTTATTTATCTATTTATTTATTTTTATACGATTGCTGCAATTTTAAACTTATATACTCCGTATTAATTTATTAATAATTATACATATGTAACTTCCAATACTTTAAAATTTTCTTCTGCATCAATTTTTTTTTTTTTAATATAAATTTCTTGACCATGGTGTATAATTAAATCATCAACAATAAATTAATTATTACTTTAATATGGTATAAATCATATTTTTCTATTTCATCAATGCTACTTTAGTACGAATTACTTCTTTTTTTTTCCCTATAGAACGTATAGATTCTACTTTGATAATGTTAAATATTGTGTCTTTTTTGAGTTTTTGTTAATATCTTATTGAATTATTTTTTATAGTTATAACGATGAAATTTATTAGGCATCTTCACTTCTAAAGTAGCCTACGAATTGAATAACAAATAGGATGGACGATTTGAACATGTAACCTGTGTACACAAGCCCGGCCAATTAACCCTTAGGCCAAGACCAAAAGACCTCTATAGGTCAACGTGAAAGTTGTTGATTGTATTTAATAGGTCCAGTGTCTAAAATTTACTTGGTGATATATATATTAATGACCAAAATTCAATCAAGTAAGATCGGTGATCCGCAACCTCTAATGGATAATATTGCTTAGTGTATCCTTTTGCTCAAATCACGTAAGGCTTTTGATTTTTGATGTTGAGTAAGGGTCTTAATTAATATTTCTAATATCATGTTTTCTAGTATCATGTTTAGGCTAATACTTTGATTATTATTATTATTAGTGACATGTTAGGGTTTGTTATTAATCCATTTAGTATCATGCCTAGGACGTTATAAGGAACTTCACAAGACTCTTCAATTTTTCACCTAATTTGGTAATTAAAGACGTGAAAGGTATCCATCACTAGGTTTGGTTTTAGGGGAGACACAATCAGGTGCCTACTAGGCCACGCAACCTAGAAGCACCCAACCATTTAATGGGAGTTAAGGGCCTGGTTTATGCTGGCCTTGATATTTCCCTCGGTTTTATTTTGCGGTATTGCAATTTTGTTTAAAACAAGGATAGGCCTTGGTTTTTCACGTACCTGCAAAATTTTTGACAAACAATTTTGACCGGTTCTAGTACTGTTTTGACGATTTTACTTCCTGATTGAGTTATTCCGACTTTTCTAAACCCGTATGAGTTCTACATATGGTGTTAGCCCCTAGGAATTCACGCTCTATCCACCCTAACTTTTAATAAATGACTTTGTAATATTATTGAAATTGAAGATTGATATCTCCTTGAAGCAGATTAGCCGCATTTAGACTTAATCCTTAGTGACCGCATAGTACAATTTGGCATTGCATAGTTGAATTGAGCGCAAATGAAGCAATTATTTTGGCAATAAGTAAAATAATATTTTCACATTGCATTCCATTCAAGGAAAATAAACCAACTTCCCCTTTTAGCTTGTTACAATCCATATCAGATGATAATAAGGCAATAAGCTCTCATCCTTAATCCAAAAAAGGCCAGAAAAATGTAGAAATAACTAACATATTTTTACTCCGTTTTGCAATTTTCGGATGTTTTAAAATTCATGTTTATCAACACTCAGACTTTAACCGTAACTATACTTCGTAAATTACTAGGTTAAAGTAATAAAAAGTTTACATTTTAAAATTTTGACTCAACAACAATTTTTTTAAGATACATTATTCTTACACACTAATCATAAAATATAGTCAAATTTAATATTGATTGTACAAAAACTCAAAAAATAGTACACATATGGATAAACTTATAAAGTAATTGGTGACGGGATTGCCACGACCTATTATCTGTTTAAAGTGATCGAAATTCTTTGTATTGCAAAGAGGTCAATGATCTAACATCGTACACTCGTACAAGTGATTAGTGAACCAACTAAATAATTGATAAGAGGAGTACGTACGAACTGCTATTAATTGCAAAAATAGGTTAGATTTTTATATATCCTTAGAGGAAATTTTTTAACCTCAACCAATCTTATTTATATGCGTAGTATATGAGGACTATGAGCGAGTATGTGTACGTGCATCCAAAATGATAATTAATTTGGCGAAATAAGTTCAACAAATAAATTCTAATTATAGTTGGTTGGCATTTGACAAAATAAGTTGGCAACCAATTCGTGCTGACCTAACTTTTACATCTTGTTTGTACATGAAGGTAGAAAATACGAAAACCATTGTTGCAATTTGTATCATAAATGATTATTGCAACTTGGTGAAAAAGATTAAATTTTTTT